GCAGTAGCTGGACTATAGCATCGACACCATGCCCGTCTAATTTTTATGATATATAGTATATAGTAATATATATATCAGTGGCCAATTAGTTTCTTCTATTTATAGTAGAGACGGGTCTGGTCTCGCTCTTGCTCAGGCTTGGTTTTGAACTCTCTGACCTAGCAATCCGCCCGCCTCGGCCTCCCAAAGCAGTAGGATTTACAGGCGTGGCACCGCGCACCGCGCCATAAAACTAATTTTGAAATTGGACTTTTCTAATTTTTCATTATCAAAATAAAATTGTGGAACATTTAAAAATAACAAAATATTATGTATATGTTGACTATCTGATTTTTTTTTAACATTAGAAGTAAAGCTGCCCGGCCGGCGCGCGGTGGCTCACGCCTGTATCCTAGCACCCGGCGGAGGCCGAGGCGGGCGGATTGCTCCGAAGCGTCAGCCAGGTTCAAAAACCACCTGAGCCAACGAGCGAGACCCCGTCTCTGACTTATAAATAGAAACAAATTAATTGGTCCGATCAGGTATATATAGAAAAATTAGCCTGGCGCATGGTGGCGCATGCCTGTATCCCACTACCGGAGGTGACGGCAGGAATTGCTGAGCCAGCAGTGGCTGAGAGTTGCTGTGAGCTAGGCTGACGCCATCGGCACTCACTCTAGCCTGGACAACAAAGCGGATGACTTGTCTCAGAAAAAAGGAAAAAAGCAAAGCTGCCTGTAAAGGTAAAACAGCTGTACAGTGCTTTAAGCTTTCTCTCATCCACACAGGAGCAACACGGACTCGTCGTCAGTGCACAGCGCAAGCCATCGTGCGGACTGTGAGTGCCGGCTGTGGGCAAGGTTTCGCGGCTGGTGAGCGCTGTACTAAAGCGGTTAAAATAATATATCCATGTCATTCTTGTGCAGGAGCCATGCTAATCTTGTCCGTATCGTTCTAATTTTATTATACGTGCTGCTGAAGTGAGCACTGGAATAGTTTTAAATTAATACATTATCTTGGGGGAGAACTGCCATCTTTGAGAAACTTAATTTTTTTTGAGACAGAGTGCTGCCTTACGTTGCCCAGCGTAGACGCTGAGCTGCCCGTGGCGTCAGCCCTAGGCCTCACAGCAACTCAAACTCCTGGGCTCAAGCGATCCTCCTGCCTCAGCCTCCCGAGTAGCTGGGACTACAGGCATGCGCCACCATGCCCGGCTAATTTTTTCTATATAAGTTAGCCAATTTTATTTCTATTTATAGTAGAGATGGGGTCTCGCTCTTGCTCAGGCTTGTTTGGAACTCCTGACCTCGAGCGATCTGCCCGCCTCGGCCTCCCAGAGTGCTAGGATTACAGGCGTGAGCTGCCGCACCAGGCCGAGAAAGTTAATCTTCTAAGCCATGAATATGCAATCTCTCAAAGGTCTGTCTCCTTTATAGTTTTTGATAAACTCTTATTTTTTTTTTTGAGATAGTCTCACTCTGTTGCCCGGGCTAGAGTGCCGTGGCATCAGCCTGGCTCAGCAACCTCAAACTCCTGGGCTCAAGCAATCCTCCTGCCTCAGCCTCCCGAGTAGCTGGGACTATAGGCACGCACCAGCTAATTTTTTCTATATATAATTTCTGGCTAATTTTTTCTATATATGTATTTTTAGTTGTCCAACTAATTTTTTTCTACTTTTAGTAGAGATGGGGTCTCTCTCTTGCTCTATAGTTTTTGATAAACTCTTATCACTGTTGCTATAAAGGTTTTACATCTTGTGTGGGGTTTATGCTTAGGATCTTGAGACTTGCGATGCCAGTATAAACGGGGTCCTTTATCCACTTCGGTACCAGCGTCGACTACAGTTGACAGCCACAATGAACGTGCATGTCGACTTTAGCCGACAGCCATGATAGGACTTTTCTAATTTTTCATTTATCAAAATAAAATTGTGAACACTTAAAAATAACGTAATGAAAACATATATGTATATGTTGCCTATTCTGATTTACATTAGAAGCTGCCTGTAAAGTAAAACAAGCTTTCAGTGCTTTAAAGGTTTCCTCATCACACAAGAGCAAAAGGGATCCGTCGTCAACGCACAGCCCAAGCCACCGTGCGGGCTGTGAGTGCGGCTGTGGGCGAGGTTTCGCGGCAGGTGAGCGCCGAGGTGGTTAAGAACGGCATTTTCTAATTGCTGATTACAGTAGGAATGTGTGTGCACCACCGCGGCAGGTTTGTTACTCCCTGGGCTGTTTCTCCTTCCTTGCAGTGTGGGCTGCCATTTCCAGTGGAGTGGACAGTCAGATGGTGGCAGGATCTTTCCTTGTTTCTTTTTATTTTTTTATTTTTTTGTTCTTTGAGTCAACGTTAGTGAGAATCTTTCCTTGTTTCTGATTTTAAAAGAAACACTTTGAGTATTTCACCAGTAAGCAGGATGTCTGCACAGGATTTTGGAAGGTAACCTTTATTGGATTAAGGAGGTTTTCTATTTCTAGTGAAGAGGTTTTTAAAAATAAAGATTATGAATGGGTGTTGCATGTTTAACAAAGGCTGTGCTGGGACTACTGCTTGATTCTGTGGCTTCTTTCTTTCAGTTGACGTGGCACCCGCAGGGAAGCCGAGGCCATGCTGTGAATATATAAACCCTGGACTCTCGGCAGCTTCATTTTTCACTCATGCAAAGTCCAGTGTGGGGCAGTCCCTCCCTGGGGGACCCTAAGTGTGCTGTGGGTGAGAAAGAGCGAGCGTGGAGGGGGCACAACAGTTCTCAAACGTCCAGGCCCAAGTGACCTGTGTCTCTGTCCCTCAGGTCTCATGCGAGGGGGCTGGGAAGCGTGGTCCCCCAGGTGTCCAGGCAGGTGGCAAAACAGTCATGCCATGGACCGAGGCCTGGGGTCGGCAAATGACACCCATGGCTGACGGAGACCCCTCCATCCTTTATCTTTGAGATAAGCCAGCTCTGGGCGGGAACTGCTGATTTCAAGCATTGCTGGTCTGGGATTGCTAAGATGAAGATTTTGTCAATTTTGCATCAGTATTCATAAATGAGACTGACCTGTAACTGTTGTGTACTGTCCTTGTCTGGATGTGATGTTCAGGTTATTTTGTTCATAAAATGAGTTAAGAAGTGTTTTCCTTTTTTCTACTCTCAAGGGGAGTTTGTGCAACATTGAAGTTACCTTTTTGTTTAGCATAAATGACTTGTTAAACCTGTCTGGCCCTGATGTTGGTGGGTGGACTTCAAGCCAGGTTTAATTTCTTTAATGTCAAGTACCACTTCTCTGCGGCACTCACCATGGCTGTAATGTTTCACTCGTGGTTTTTCAGCTGAGAAGACCGAGGCAGAGGAGTCTGCTAAGTGCTTGGTACACAAGAAATGCTCACCAGACCCTGTTCCAGGTATTAGCTCATTGAAACTTCACCAGACCTATGAGGCAGGTGGCAGGAGCCCCACTTCCAGCTGGGAAAACTGGGGAGCAGAGAGAAACACCACGTACCCAAGGTCCTCTGGCTTCTTGGCTCCAGAGTCAGGACAAGTCCTTTGTAGCTTGTTGCCAGCAAATGCAAGACTCAAATGACCCAAGCCCAGCCCCTAAATAATGCAGCCCCAGCGAGTGAGTGGAAGAGGGGACAGTCTGAATGAAGGCTGGGGCCCGCCTCTCACCCCACTGGGGGTGGCACTAAGCAGCCATCATACCTCAGGTCACTGAACTGGAGGTCTGAACGCAGGTGGGCCACTTGGGGACATGCTCAGTCCCTCTGGTAGGGCCGCAGTTCTTGAAGCAGGCACCTGGGTCACTGGCTAAGCCTCGTGCTCCAGGCCCAGGGAGGGAGCCTTCTGGGGCTGGAACCCAGGTGTTTGCTCCAGGCCCGAATGCTTCCTCGGTGTGAACACTGTGGCCCCCCCAGTCACCAAAGACCTGCAGCTGCCCTGGTGGGAAGGCTCAGGCCTGGGGTTCATGTCTAGCCGGTCACTTCCTGGTCACCAGGGGGTCTTGGGGTGAGACCAGGTTCTTGGCAGTTAAGGGCAGGGTGAAGGTGGTAGAGGTCTCGGTAGAGGACTAGTCTATCTCTTGGCCTCCATGTGCTCGTGGACCAAACTGGACAACAGCAGATAAAGGGAAAGTTGAGGCATGAGTGTTAATTCGCCCCACAAGATTAATGTGCTATGTCCTGATGCTGTCTGGCACACACTAGGTGCTCAGTAAACAGCTGAGCGCGATGGAGGGCTCACCCAAAGTGGGAGTCCCTTCTGTCAGATCAGTAACTGTGATCAGCCCAGGAACAGTTGTCTTCCTCCCTTTAAAGGGATAGGCTCAGGCTGCTGCCTTTCGGGGTGGGTGAGGGAAGATGCAGGGCAAGGGGGCCAGGTTCTGATCTGTGTGGACCGCTCCAGGAGAGGTGGGGATCCCCTGGGGCTGCCCTGGGGGCACCTCGTGCAGAGATGAGAGCTGGGGCTTGGGGCCCAGGGCACGAGAGAGGGCGTGCCCTACCCTGGGCAGCTGGTCTCACTGCAGTGAGGGTGCTGAGGGAAGCCTGGGGCCCGGGCGGGGTGACTGGCCAGTGGGATGGCTCTGGGAGGACAAACTGCCTCCCAGGGCGGAGAAAGGACTAGAAGCCTTGGGGCCTCCCCCCTCCGGCAGTGCAGGCGCAGACTCTGCTGCTCCCCGCACGTGGGTGCGCACTGCCCAGGGGGCGGGAGGGCGTGCTCCCGCACAGGGACGCCCCAAAGCCTGGGGCTCCCACCCTAGAAATGCCCTTTTCACCAGGACACTGGGGTGGGGGTGGTTCAGCTTCTGCGTGTGAACCCACTTCCAGGGCACATGTGGTTCTGGTCAATTTGAATGCTTCTGGGGCATAAGACCTAGGAGAGAAAGTTCTAGAAAGGAGCTGATGCTACTGACATTCATTCCACTAGACAGAACTATCCCAACAACAGCAAGAAGATGTGGGGCATGAGACAAATGACCGCAGCCCCCCAGCCAGCCTAAACTGTCACTCGAAGTGCACACACACAGCATGTGGCGCAAACCCAGCACTGGGCAGCTTTTGTCCGTGTTTATTTTTTTCTGTATAAAAGTTACACATTTGAAATGTCTGCAGGAAGATGCCATGAACAGGTTAGTCGGGGGATTTATTTTACAATGGAACACTGGGGTGGTCGTGGGCAGCCAGAGCATGGGACGCTCCTCAGAACTGGGGTTCAGGCCAACAGGTGCATGCCTGCCCCACCCGGCTCCGCCCACACCTACGGGTGAGAACTGACTTTCTCTACAGGGACCCGAGTCTTGCTCACGGCTGTCTGCGAAGACCAACTCCCAGGATACTCCCTGGTCCCCAGGAAGCAGCCTAGTCCCGGACGCCTGCAGCACTGAGGGGTGGGTGGGGGCGCCTGTCAGCCAGTAAGGTAAAAAACACGTTGTACCTCCCTGTCCCCACACAGGGAGCCACATGGCACTCCAGGGATGGACATAGGGTCTGTTCTAAACTCAGCACATGGGAAGAGATCCCCGGCCAGCTCATGCCTGAGCCCAAGGCCGCTGGAGCTGCGACAGCCCGACTGCAGACCCAGGGGACCGGGCTGGGTTTCTGAGGCTGCAGCGCAGTGTTGGCCTGTGCTGCAGGGGGGCTCCCAGGGGCTCTCGCAAGTATGAGGGGACTTTCAGTTTTCCAGCCTGAGAGCCCTGCGTGCAGAGCGGCCCTCCCGCGTGCACAGTGCATCCGCCAGAGTTGGGCGAGGGTGGGAAGCAGGAGGCACTGATGAAATGAAGGGACTTAAAGAGGAAACAAACCAAAACCCCAACCCCACACACAGTGTTGATCAACACTGTTAATAAACCAGCGACCACACGCACACACACATACACACACACACACACGCTTTAAATAATAAAGTGACAGGCTCCGGCCAGCCCCAGCAGGATCGCTGCCAGAGGGGATCCTACCTGATGTCCACAGGGGTCCACCCCTCTCTCTACAGGACAAACGAAACACAAAAGAGGAAAAAGCAGCCCCCATTTTCTTCTTGATAAATGCTGCTCCAAAACTCATGAAGGACTCAAAGTGACAGGGTTGTTTAAAAAACTCTATATCAACAGGTGTTGCCTTCTACTGTTTTCCTTTGTTCTGCTTTAACTGGGCTAAGCAAGCACAGTTAGAGCCTGGTGTTTGCTTACCCAAGCCCAGGAGAAGTGAGCGCTCATTCACGCAGAACAGGCCCAGGTGGGCAGCGCATCTGGGCTCCGGCCAGCACCCCCCCCCCTCGCTTGGCTGCCACAGAGCCAGGCAGGGCTCCAGTGGCACCTCCGCAGACCTTGCCCCGATTGTCAACCTCAGCAGCAAGAATGGTTTTGAACAAGGAGGATGGAGGAGTACCTGCCCGCGAAGCCGCTTTCGCTAGGGAAGCAAGCTGCTGGGCCTCAGGAGCACCTCCGCCCTCCCCGTGCCCCGAGGGCCTCTCAGGAACGCAGTCCTGGCAGGGGGCAGTGACAGAAAGCTCTGCAGAGCCCAAGGAGGCGAGCTGGAGACTGGCGTTTAAGGCACACAGCAAGCGACGGGGAGGGGCTGCTGGACTGAGCCAGAGCTCCTGCACTCCCCCTCCGAGTTAACACGCCCGGGGCTCAGCTCTGGCCCCAGCTCAGACCAGCGTCTGATAAGTCAGTCCTCCCTCCCACCATACTCCTCGTCCCAGGTGCAGCAAGATGACAGACACCCTGGCTGCCTGTGGTCCAGCAAGGGAGGCCCTGCGGGCACCAGTACCATGACAAGGAGTGCCAGCTGCGGGGCTGCTGCGTCGCCACCTGCTGTACCTGCCTGGGCCAGAGAAAAGCTGTCATCATCCTCCATGTCTAAGCAGGAGATGGAAAGTGAAAGGGCCTCCTGGGTCTTCTCTGCTTTCTGCCCAAGCCCTGGCCAGGCTCCTGTGCCAGAGGGCCTCAGGCCTCCACTCATTCGCCATTTCACAAGATTCAGGTACCCTGGAGCTTAGGGACCGGGAGGACGGCTGGTCCTTTGTTTGCCGATGACATCCCTGCTGCTCCGTGCTGGAGGGGAGTGGGTGGGAGGGAGGGCGGGCAGGAGGGGAAAGACAGACATGAAAGCAGAAAACAAAACTACCCCAGGAAACCACTGGCTCTCAAGTCAGCAACAGCAACAAGGCCGAGAGTGGCTGCCCCGCCTGCTCTGCTCCCACAGGGAGGGAGGGCGGCAGGAAGCTGCCAGCAGGCTCCAGGCCCCTGCTGGCTCAGCCAGGCCTGGCCTCGTGGCTCTGGGGCCAGGAGTGCTGCAGCCCCGATAGGTCCCCAGGGCACTCTGGTCCTGGAGCTGCTCTGCGCCCCCAAGCGCGTGCCTCCATCCTGGCACCTGCTCCTAGGTCTTTTCTTCCCGGTCTGTTTTCCTCCTTGTTATGTTCCTGGGTTTAATTTTCAGAGAGAGTTCCCATAGGGCCTCCTCAGCCAGGTGGTCACTAAAGTCGTTGAAGAAATTTATGATGTCGTCGTTTCTCCGGATGTCGTAATGCCTGTGCAGGGGAGGGGGGGCAGGCAGGGAGAGCCAGTGAGGGCCAAACAGCCCGAGGGTGCCACGTGGACCATCCCACACCCCTCAGAGCAAACTGCTGTGCTGCTATGGCCCAGTAGGACAGAGGACGCCAGAGCTCAGAGCCAGCACCCAGCACGAGGACTGGCCCCCAGTGAGGGCTGCGGAAGCCCAGCCCCCACTGCAGGAGCCCCGGGCATACTCTGGATTCAGGTAGGCCCAGGTTCGTCAGCCTTCTCCTCACAGCAAGGCGGGCCCCACCCTCCTGGTATGCGAAATGGGAGGATGAGCTGGCTGCCTCACTGGCCTCAAGCCCAGGGCCAGACAGGGAGCCGAGCCCTTTATGTGTACTCTCTTACGTTATCCTGACAAAGAGGCTGTACCCTGTTCAACAGATGGAGGATCACTTAGTCCTCTGTGACCTTTTGCCTCTGCTCAGGGCCCCGGGGTCGCTCCTTGCATCTTGGAGGGCTCAGATCCACCCCACCGGCCCTGGGCAGGGCACTCACGCCTGCTGGAAGCACCGCATGCTGTCGAGGATGTTGAACTGCTGCCAGCGTTTGGAGAAGTTCACCTTCCCGTCGATATAGTCTGGGTTCCCCAGGTGCACGAAGGTCAGGTCCTGCAGGATTAGCCCCCTGGGAGGACGGGGAAGAAGCCCAGTCACCACTACAGAGGGCGACTCCCAAGGCAGCTGGTTTACCGAGAGCCTAGTGCCGGACAACGACTCCAGCCCACGCAGCTGCCGAAACCTCAAGAGCAAACCAAAGAGCGAGTCTGGGTGTTTGTTTCTTCCGGAATGAATTCCCACCTCACCATCTGTGGGTCCATGAGCACCTGCTGTGTCCCTTGGAAGCCAGCTCAGGCATCGGAGGGGCCTGGAACATGCCGCCCCTCCAAGCCGGAGGAGGACTGTCAGAGAGCTGCAGGGTGTGCGTTGCTCATGTGAAATTAACACATGAGCAATAGAAAAACAAAACCCAAACTGAGGAAGGAAGGGGTGAAGACCCCTTGTTAATACCATAGGAGAAAAGGTGGGGACTCGGAGCGCTCGGCCGCAGGGCCCAGAGGTGGGTCTGTGATGGGACAGCAGCGTGCCAGTGTTCAGTTCAGGCCTTAACCCGAGGGACACTGCCCAGTCTTCTGTCCCCACTCTGGGGAGTCCCAACGTCCACTAGTGTAGCGAAGGCTCTGATAATCAAACCTGCTTAACTTTGATTTTTCTGGAATTTCCCTTTTCCATGAAACACACTTCCTCCGCCCCACAGCCCGCCCTCAGGAAGACTTTCGGAACTTCTTCAAGCCAAGCGCTCTCGGGATTCGCGGAGTGACTGGCTCCTCGGCGGTGCTAACTGCCGCTGAGCATGAGGGCCGCTAGACGCTGCATGGCGCCGCGTGGGGAGGAGCCGCGCCTGCCTGCATGTGCGCTCTGGCAGGTACAGGAGGAAGCGGGAGCGGGGCTGGGAGATGGGAAGGAGCACTTCCACTCCTGAGCATGTTTTCTGTTTAAATTCCGTGACAAGGAGCATGTTTTACTTTTAAAGTTAGAAGTGAAAACTAAAACAGAAGCACAGACGTCACAGCTGGAAGCCCTCACGCGAGGACTTCTCTGGGGGAACCCAGTGCATCTTCCCCGGGCAGCTGCGTGGGCGAGGGCGCTCGGGGCTACTCACAGGTACGGGATGCAGGGGGGCTCCACCTCTGAGAGGGCCGCCCGGTAGGCCCGGAAGGAGGACGAGCTGTCGATGAGCGTGCAGTACTCGGCCAGGCCCTGGCAGGACAGGGCAGGGGTTAGCGACTGCTGGGGCACTGCGGGGCAGAGCCTGGCACGAAATGCCAACCAGCCTGCCTGCCCCACTCCGTCCACACTGGCAGGGTGGTGTCCACAACATGTGAACACAAGCCAGATGCAGGCCCTGCCTCTGGCCGGCACAGATTTAGTCTCTTTTAACTGAGTATTAGCTAAACGCTGGTCAGAGAGAGACCTTAGGCCCATTAGGGAGAAACACCCCACGGGCTTTTTGTGCTTGGTAAAACCATGTCCGAGCAGCCAGCAACCGCTGTGTGTGCAGGACACTGGAAGCTGGGGCTCCTGCTTGGTTCCTGCTCCGTGTTCAAGCCTGAGGGCACGTCTACAGCACACCAAACTGAGCCACTCCTGGCTCAGAGCTGCCTTCACTCCTCCCTGCACCTCAGGTGCAATGGGGACAGCACGTGACCTCAACCTCCTGCAGGGCCCAGCTGCTTCTTGCCTCTGCATGTGCTGTGAGGTTTCTGCCTAGGAGATGCACCCACCCCTGCCCCATGCTCAACACTATTCTGCCTCCTCCGGACCTCTTGTGTTCCTGTAGCACCTGGAGTGAATTTTGCACTTCGCCATACAACACTGACTTATAATTGTCCCCTTATGTGCACCAAGTGAGAGGGTCCCCCAGGTGGCCTGGCTGACACTCAAAGCTGTGGGCTTTATTGCCCTTCTCAAGAGTATTGTCCCACACAGGGATAAAGGTCCAATTCTAGGCCAGGCACAGTGGCTCACGCCTGCAATCCTGGCACTTGGGGAGGCTGAGATGGGAGGATCACTTGAGGCCAGGTGTTCTGGACCAGCCTGGGCAACATGGTGAGACTCTGTCTCTACAAAAAAATATAAAAAATTAGGGCCGGGTGCGGTGGCTCACGCCTGTAATCCTAGCAATCTGGGGGATTGCTCGAGTTCAGGAGTTCGAAACCAGCCTGAGCAAGAGCGAGACCTCATCTCTACTATAAATGGAAAGAAATTAATTGGCCAACTAAAAATATATAGAAAAAATTAGCCGGGCATGGTGGTGCATGCCTGTAGTCCCAGCTACTTGGGAGGCTGAGGCAGGAGCATAGCTTGAGCCCAGGAGTTTGAGGTTGCTGTGAGCTAGGCTGACGCCACGGCACTCACTCCAGCCTGCGAGACTCTGTCTCAAAAAAAAAAAAAAAATTAGCTGGGTGAGGTGGTACACACCTGTAGTCCCAGCTACTCAGGAGGCTAAGGCAGGAGGATCCCTTGAGCCCAGGAGTTTGAGGTTGCAGTGAGCTATGATGATACCACTGCATTCTAGCCTGGGTGACAGATCGAGACCCTGTCTCAAAAAAAAAGTTAAATTCCTCACCAGGCCCCCTGAGGCCTTCCTCACCTAGAGCTGGCCCCCTTTCCCAGTGATATGGCCATCCCAGTCCCTGCCCTGCTCCTCAAAGACACCAAATCCCCACCTGCTCCCAGGCTGTGATCTGCTCTGTCCCCTTGGATGGAAATTTTCTTCCCTTTCCAGGAACTTCCTTTTGCTCTGTAGGTGGTGGTATGTGAGACACTTGCTCCAGGCTAGCGCCTGCTCAGTGCCTCACCCCACAGCCCAGTTGTCTCCTTTTAGCGCTCACCCTGCAGAAACCCACCCAACAGGATGGCAGCTGCTCAAGGTATGGCCTGTGCCTGAGGCAGCGCCAGCCCAGAATGGCCCCTTCTGAAGGATGGGCCGGAGGAAGGACCACAGTGAAGCTGGGCCCAGGGATGGGCTTGCAGGCTGCAGCAGGATGCCATGACAGCCCCAGATTCAGCCCCAAAGCCCCCCAGGATGTGGTGACCGGTGATCAGAGACAGGAAGCTGGGGGGGGGTGGACAGCTGTCCTGGCCACACAGCAGGCTGGTGGCAGAGCAGGCTCCTGAGCCCCAGCATCCACTGCCGCTTGCCCAAGGGCTGGGCAAGGACCCCACCTGCTGGCTCCCTTCCCACCCATGACACGAAGGCCACTCACCTCTGAGGTCTGCTTCTGCCATTCTAGTCTGCGGATGGGCGCCGAGTCCAGCGCGGAGAGGATGGCCAGGTAGGAGTTGAAGTTATTCAGCTTCCGTAAGTGCTATGGAGAGAGGTGCGGCCTACGTGAGGGCAGGCAGCAGGGCAGGCGGGCTCGGCTCCCGGGCAGGGCCGAAGGGGTGCTCTGGGGAGGGCTTGGCCACCGTTACCTTCATGATCTTAATGAACTTCAAGAGCAGCCGTTCCCTGTCCTGGGCTTTTTCCTGTAACATGATTATCGAGCGGACCCTGCATGGACCGGTGGAAAAGAAGAGACAGCTGAGCCGACCATCTTCCTACAGGCCCCAGGCAGTCCTGGCGGAGATGGGCCTGCAGCCCCGGCACCAGCAGCCACGAGCTCACCCTCTGCGTGCCCAGGGCTTGTGAGGGCCCAGGCACGGACCGTGTCTCTGCTCTCACGGAGCCGACAGCATCCCAGGGAGAGACAAGACACCACAAAGAAATCTGGTGACTGGTGCCCAACACCACCAATGGGGACCTCCGATCCTGCAGATGCAGGTCTGGGAGGATCAAAGCGGAACCTTTCCTGACAGGTGCGGGCCTGAGCACCACTGCGGCTGGGAAGGTTCCTCATGTGGCCTCAGGACTGGCTTGGGGAGACCAGCTGGCATGTGACTGAAGAGGCCACTTTTGCCAGCCACAGGGGCACAGATCTCACAACCTTAGCAGCAGCCAAAGCCAAACCCAAAGGCCAGTCTCATTTGCGCCACGTGTGCAGCAGGGACCTCACGCTGGCCTCAACTTCCTGTGGTTTCAGAGGAGCCACCACCAGTGTCACTCGGAGGAAGTGCCACATTCTGCATCCCCTTGTCCACCTCATAAGAGGGCAGCTGCACTGAGCACACAGGACCACGGCTGTGCACCTCTGCTGGGCCAGGCTCCGGGGGTGAGAGGGGGCGGGTGCCCATGAGCTTCCTGGACCCAGCAAGAAGCTGGTGTCAGACGCCAGGCTCAGGCTGTGTGTGCCGCTTCCCTCTGCCCCAGGAACCACCATGCCCGACTGGGCTAGCCCCACACTGAACGGTGGGTTGCTACAGCTGAGCACACGCTACTGCGGCCTGGACTGCTTCTGTGCTGGGCAGAAAGGCAGGGAAAGGCGCGATGACCCTATTTTTCTCTAATAAGCAGTCCTGGGGACATTTAAGAAACAAACATTATGCTGGTGGGAGCGGCAGATGGGGGAGCACTGAATAGCTGCCATGCGCAGAGACTATTTGATGCCGAGATGCTGTGAGCACTTTAAGTCACATCTCAAAGAGCCAAGAGTTCTGCATTATAAACACACTGTTGGGATTCATTTTGGTTTAAGAATTAGAGGCTAACAGAAGACACTCTCTGCTAACTGCTCTGTCAGGCACAGTCAGTGTGAGCGTCTGGTACGTGTGGCAGGGCCTGGCAGTGACCAGCCCAGGACACCAAGCCCGACACCCCTCCCCAACTGCCACCTACGGCAGACATGACTAATCAATCCTGGCACTCTTCCCTGCTGAGCCTCTGCAACCAGCCCTCTCCTGTCCCTGCCCTTGTTCTGGGCCTTTTGGTTCATGATTCGTCCCCACAGCGCCCCCAGAGGAGCTTGGAGGAATGAAAGCAGCAGCTCCTCTGTACCACTCAAGCTCTCTGCAAAGGAAAACAGGGAGCGGTTGCCACCGTCCAGAGCCACAGGGCTGGTGCTGTGGCCCCTTCTTACCAGTAGGACATGTTGTTGAAGTGCTCCGTGAACTGGGTCAAGTTGGGACTCTTCTCCTCATTCTGCTCTTTTGCCCAAAGCAAAACTTCAGGAATCTGCAAAAGGAAAGATGCTAGATAGAGGCAGAATCCTGGGCTTTCCTGTGACAGGGGCAGGGGGAGGTCTCCCATTCAGGGACAACCGGCAGTGGCTCCCCAGGCCCTGCCCCCTCCATACCACACCTCTATTTTATAGAAGAGCTCGGCGTCCAGCAGTGTCAACTGCTCGGCTATTTCATGGCTGTGAAAGTCATGCAAGGTCCCCGGCCTGGAAGACAGAGGCAGGAGAACCCCCATCAGGGGGTGGGGACAGTGGCCAGGGAGTTGATCAGCCTGGCTGCACTGCAGGAGCGAGCAGGCCATGGAACAGCCCAGCACCAGCTGCTCCTTGGGTCCCTCTGGGCCCCACGTTTCTCCCCAGGATGACGCTGTCTGCCTTCCCCTCCCGCCTCTGCTAGGTATGTCCTGCAGCTTTTAGAATCAGGAGATGGAGTTCCCTTGTGAATTCAGAAGCCTGAGGACTCTCGCTCACAGCCCAACCCCACTTCCAGGGGCCAGGAGAACAGAGATGGCACCCTTAAACAAAAGCTGAGCACTCACTAAAAAGGAGCCCGTCAAGCAACAATATCTACAGCCGGAACTGAAACTCGCCTCTGGCTGGGGTAGAGGTAGGCAGCAGAATGGAACTTTCATCAGGGCCTTGGAGGCTGCTCTGTTAACGCTGGCAAGGCCACGCAGAGCAACCACAGCCCGGAACACACTTCTCTACCTCTGTCCTACGCAGCCCTATGTGCCCTGCTATCTTGCTTCCTGGTGACAAGGTGACTCCATCACCAGCATACAACTTCTGAAGAAGAGGCCCAGCCACAGGGGACCCATTGGGCTGTCCCTGAGGCACCTTGTCACAGAGCCTGGGCAGAACCAGGATGTGAGACTGTAGGGGACTGGGGGAGGGTAAACTGAGGAAAGTGCCATAGCAAGGCAGCTCTTGGGCACAGTTCTTGCCAGAGGCGGTGGAGACTGGGGAAGCTGGCTGCTTACCTGGCTGCTACCCCCCTGGCTGCCAGTGGCTGGTCGGAGTTGGCACACCTGAGCAGCTTCTTCTGCTCCATCTTGTCCAGGATGTTCTTCCGGAGCACGCGGGCCAGGCTGAGCTCCCCGTTGCATACCAGGCGAAAGACCAGCTCCATCAACAGCTTCAGGATCTCCTCTGTCAACTCCACTAGGCTAAAGGGCCAAAGGCACAGGTGAGGGGGCAAGAACAAGACCCAGAAGATCTGGAATCCACCTCCAGATACCCAAAGGCCATGCAGCAGCGATCAGTACATATCTGGAAACCTTCCATGGGAAGAGAGCAAGAGAGAAGATCTAGGGACGGCGGCTGCACCCTCAGAAGTGCTGAGAGTGGTCTCAGCGTAAGAAACACCTGCCACTCCCTCAACAGACGTTTGCTGGCACTGGACAAGTGCCAAGGACAAAGCTGGGGACTGGCTACAGAGACAAATCCCACACCAATCCTGCCCTGGGAGAGCTCCTGAACTACACCTTGAAAACCGTCCATGCCATGGCTGTTCCCTAGTTGTGCAGCCACTGGCCACAGTCATCTCCCCAGCAGAAGGTAGGGGCCAGGCTGTTCCATCTACCTCTGACTCTCCATACCCAGGAAAGACCTCCTTGATGGGTATTTGTTAAATGAATGAAAATGGCAAGTGCTGTGTCAAAGAATCAGACAGATGACCATGGAAATGCTGATGGCTAAGAGCATAGCTGGCTGTGGACTGGTCCTATAATACCTGCAAGAGGGATGGCTCTGGGCGGTACAGGTTCCTCTCCTGTGGGAAATTTAGGGCCTGGGCTGGGGCTGGAGAGACACCTCACCCTGGCCTATGGGGGACAAGTCATTCTCTCAAAGGGTGCTGACAAAGCAGGCAAGAGCCATCCCTGACCAGAGCTCTGTGCTCAGTGGGTGTTCACCCCCATGAGAGGCGGGTGGAACGGGGACAGGCTGCCCATCTCAGCAGGGAAGCCCACAGCACCCTGAGGCCCACCCGGGCCCACTGAGCTGTCTGCAGGGCAGAGCCCGAGAGGATGCACTCACCAGAGCTCGTCCACCACCCGTACCAGCACGAAGAACGTGTTCTTGCTGACTCGCTTCTTGAACGTGTCGGCAAACGGAGAGAACTTCTCGTATGTGGAGCGTGGGTTAAAGACATAAGCCACATGGTGGGGGAGACGCAAGTGGAGGGCTGCCTTCTAGCTATAATTTATCAAGTGCTTACTATGCGCCAGGAACCCTGCGAGTGAAGCGTTCGCATCCAGAGTGCGAAGCTGAGATTTGAGCCCAAACCTCCTTCACCACAGGCCTGTTCCCAGCTGCTTTCCTCGCCTGCCTGCCTTTCTGCTGGCTTCAACCCAAGGCTCTGTGACATTACTGGCACCTGAAGGATGTTCTGCTGAGCTTCAGGTAGAGAAGTGGTCCCATACCAAACACCCTCAAACCCCAGGCCTCTCTGGCAGGTCTACAGGCCAGAGGTGCCTCCCTCTGCTCTGTCCGTGAGTTTCCACGCCGAGACTATCTCCCTGGGCCATGGGCTGCTCTAGCTTGGACACCCTCCCAGGAGCCTTGCTTCTGTGATGTTGGGCAAGGTCTCCCTTCCCAGAGCAGCAAGCTCCATACTGGCTTGTCTCCGTGCCAGCCCTTCAAACCTCGACCAGCTCTCACTGTCCCTTGAAGTGGGAGGCTGTGGTTTCCTGCCGCACTGTTGTGTTTGCCATCGACTCCCCAGACCCTCCCTGATTCTGTCCTGCTTGCTCTCCAGCGACCCACAGCCTTCCATGTCCTGGGCTCAGGACGGAGCCTTGCACTAGGGACAGTCTGCTTGGCCTCAGCACGGGCTCGTGGCCACCTGGGCCCAGAGCTTGGTGCCCAGGCATGGGCCTGAGGCGGCCACTCAGGGCAGAGACTGAGAACCTGAGTGCTGGAGGCAGAGGAAGGGGGCTGTGGCCGCTCTGCCACCAAGCAGCCAGATGGGTCGTCAGATCCTTCACCTCTCTGAGCCTCTCTGAGCCTCGGTTTCCTCAATTACATGACAAGAAATTATAAGTGGCACCATGCATAACACGGTGGTCTTATAGCTGATGTCACACGTGTAAATGTACATCTTGCCTGAGTAAGCTCTCCACAGGTGAGTGACTGCCATTGGCTGAGCCGGGCCTGTGAGCAGGTGCTCTTGAGTGACAGAAAGTGCCAGGGGACCCGACCCGAGTCCTACCAGGGAGAAACGTCCACGTCCGTCTTGACATGCAGGGCAGTCTAAGGGCCACAGTAAGATCTGCAGGAGACCCTGAGGGGGACCGGGGAGGCTCGAGGCCTGCGGGAAGGGGAGGAAGAGGGCTGGAGGACTCCACTTTTTGCCCCGGCAGTGGCAGCTGTCCAGCAGATGGCAGTCATGGGCTGCCCTCCTGGAGGAGCAGCCGTGGTTAGCTTTGGCTGCACAGGCAGGTTTGGACTTGAAGAGAGGAAGTGGGCAACAAAAAAAAGTGGGTCCTTCCAAGCCTCTGGGGTCTTCCTCAGCCACTACTGTATGGGGTACATTTACCAAGGGTGGCCCATGGGGCAAATCGCAGATTGAGGGGACTCCCACGTCCCCACCTTGATCACACTGCTGCCCAACGCATCACTTGTACCCTTGCACTGGGGCAGAGTGGGTGGGAAAGGCCTCGGTGCGAGGTGGGGCTGGGCAAGGATATCTGTACTGCAGCTTCTTGATGAGCTCCTCTGGGGTGATGAAGGTCCTGTAGGTGGTCAGGAAGGCCTCGCAGTACAGCACCAAGTCTGGAGGGAGAAGCGACGGGAGCCACTGAGTCAGGGCACAAAGCATGGTCCCAGAGGCAAGTCCCTGCTGACTAAGCTGCCCAGGGAGGGGTGCCCTACCTTTCCTGTCCGTCTCTGTAGCGTGGACCAGTAAGATGTCCCCTGATCCTCCACGGACGTCTGGCCCATCGTCGCCCTGTAATGAAAACAGACAAGGAGGGGCATGAGGCAGTGCGTGCCCTTAAGAAAGTAAGTTTAGGAAGGACCAGGCAGGGATGAGATGACCAAGAGGCTGTTCTGCAGTGTGGCCCTGCTGCAAGGCCAGGGCTGCCTCTGCAGCCCACCACCCATGCTCAGTGACAGGCGCAGACTGAACCGTGTTTGGGAGCTGGATGGCCTGGAAGCTGCCCAGGCTCCAGGGCTGTTTTGAGGACAAAGCTGGGTCAGGGGACACAGTGCCATTCGACCTTCCCCTGCTCACCAATCCATGGGCCAGAGGGGAGGTGGACGTCTTCATAGGGGGGGGACAGTGGGAACCCACAGGGAGGCAGGATAGTCAGCTGCCAGGATGCCAGTGGAGAAAAGGACTATATATTAGCATGTTAATATTCCCCAAACTGCAGTAAGCTGCCCTAAGTCTAAACCCTTTTCCCCAAGTAGAAGAGGCAGTCACTAGTATTACTGCAGGTTCTTCCACGAAGCCCTTCATTAGAGGAGTGAGAGTGTCACAAAGATGTTTGATGACATCAGATGCTGCTTAAATGACCATCAACCCCTAGCTGTCATTAAGGAGCAAATCTGTTTCCATGAGAGCAAGCAGAGCTTTAACCACCTGGCCTGGGGCCAAAAGGCACTGTTACAGGGGCCAGCAAACCAGGCCAGGACAAACACCCAGGGCCTTTCTCTGCCCCCACATTCCCTCAAGCCCCTGCTGCCGCAGCACCCACTCTAAGGCGCCTTGTCTTCTTAGGGCTTAGATCTTTCACCCCTCAACCCTAGGGTTCTGGGAGTGTCCTCGATTTACCTCCAGAGGTAGGGGTTATGCCTCTGACCTGGTTTTAAGGAAGAAATTTATGGCAAGGATCATGAGATGTCACTTCTGTCAGGACTCTCAGTGCCCTGACAGCCCCGGGGCAGACAACATCCCGGGTTGCTCGTTGCCACAGCCGGAGCCGGCCTGGCCTGGGCCAGGAGCATGCAAACGGCAGCATCTGCCTTTTTGTCTGCATGTTTGTGTGTGACTATCAGCACATCAAAGCCCAGGAACACAGCTACCTCCCTGGGAGGGCGGGGGGAGGGAAGGTCAGGGCTACTTTATGAAGCCGTTCCTTTGCATTTCCAGAAATGCATAGTCAAAGGAAGAGGCAAAGCTCTCTCAGTCCAATTTCCTCTTATTGTGACAGGTTTGGGCACTGTTTTCACCAACAAGGCTCTGTAGACAAGGCACAGGACGAAAGCAGCTACACTGTCCAGGCCTGAGTTTTCTCAATCAGCTGGTGTCTCCCGGCTGAGGCTATCGTGGGGCTATTTTATCAACAATAGAAAAATGTCCCACACTGGTGAGGGCTCACCCCATGCAGGCTCTGCGCTGAGCACTCACGTGGATTTCATCCTCACAACACTCTCAGGAGTCCTGTCATTTGAGGCACAGGGATGCTACAGCATAACCAAAATCACTTTCCAGAAGCATCAAGAGGAGAGAGCATATTTTCCCTGGCATCACCGCTCTGGGAGCCCAGAGCTGAGCTCCACCAGGAGCACTGAGACTTGGCCTCCACGCCTGGCTTGGGTCTCTGTGCTCGAGACACCTCAAGGTCACACTCTACTTGGCCCCCTTGCTCTCCCTCTGTGGGGCCAGACTGTGAAATCCAGACCTGGGAGTCTTTACCTCTTGCTTGAGCGTCAGCCTGGCCATAATCTCATTGTGGTCAATGAGGGACAGTTCATCCACTTCCTCCTCCGACTCGGCCGACTCCAGAGCATCTGGTGACTTTGGGCCCCTGGAGGGAGAAGCGGTTTGTATTGCAAACATCCTGCAGGCCCCTGGGCTTCCTGGTGCCCAGGCAGTGCCAGCTTGTGCACAGGCATCAGAACTGCTCTCTGAATGAGCCCACCCTGTGTGGCAACTCCATCGTCATGCACTGGGTCCCCAGCTCACTACTGATCAGCCGTGTGACCTGGGCCCTTCTCCTGCTCTCTCTGGATGGCCTGTCTGTACATGGAAGGGATTCCACTGGGAGACTAACCACTTCAGTACGGCGCTCACCAGCCTCGAAACCTTGCCGACAGCCGCACTCATAGTCGACTGTACGCGTGTATCTGTGGCTATCGACTATAGTTGACGCTCGTACCGAAGTGGTTAAGAAGGTTCCATTGAGCTGTGTTGGGTGATGGTCTCAGCCATCTCCTGAGGCCCACTATACACACAGTCAGCACTGGAGAAGGAGCAAACGGGCAAGCGGGTGGGGAAGGCAGCATGGCTCGATGCTGTTCTGCTCCCTGGCACTTCTCCGAGGGCCAACTCGCCATTGGACCCTTTGTCTGGCACTAAGAAAAAGCCATAAACTAGGTAGACATGGCTCCTGTTCTCAAGACTCGATCTAGCAGGACCATGGACTATAAAACAAGTGGTCATGGCAACACAGAAAAGGGGGAGCAGGACCTGTAATCCTAGCACTCTGGGAGGCCCAGGCAGGAGGATCGCTGGAGGATCGCTTGAGGTCAGGAGTTTGAGACTAGCCTGAGCAAGAGTAAAACCCCGACTCCACTAAAAAAAAAAAAAAAAAAAAGCGGGGTGGCGGGGCAGCACCGAGGGGAGGAAAAACACTGCAGGGGCCCTGGCCTCTCCTAAAAGGTCAGGAAAGCCCCTGGGATGGGACAAGTGAGCTGAGCCTCACGCTGAAGCACAGGGAGGACATTCCCCACAGGTGGGCACAAGGGCAGCTAGCTTCCCAAGTAGCTGGGACTGCAGGTGTGTGCCACTGTGCCTGGCTCACAGATCACATTTTTCACCCTAAGTATCTGAGACGTAAAAACGCGTGCCTTCAGTAAGAGAACACGAGTGGGCCAGAGCAAACCCACCCCAGTCTTGGGAAGAACTATTCTGTTTCACGTCTTGTCAATGTCCAGCCTGTGGTATGGACTGGGTGGGAGGAAAACACCACCCACACCACCACATAGTTTCTAACCAACGTGGTCATGCTTCTCTCTCACAAGGACCATCTGGAACTCTGAAAATGACACCTTTGGGTTCAATGAAGCTGGTGAAAGAGCTCAAAGAACCCATTAGCTACTTTTGCTCAGTGCATACCTCTTCTACCCCTAGGTACACGAAAACACACCGATCCCTGCTTAACACTCTAGGAGACCTCAGCCTGGGCAGCAGAATCACACAGGCATCATGTGGATGGCACCGCAGAGCAGCCAAGAGACAGGGTGAGCAGCTAGCCCTCCGCGAGGCTCCCTTTGGAAAGCTTTTGCATCTCTTTCTCCTGGTACTTTTTTTTTTTTACTACCTTTTCAACTTTCATGCTCAGGCCTGAGAATGACAAGCAGCCATTGCCTGCTCTGCTAAGATCACCCTGGATACCAAAGGTAGCTGAACCATGACCTAACGAGGGAGGAAAAGCTTGAACGTATCGAACATTTCACAAAGAAGGTGAAGTCAACATGAAGTTGCAGGTGGGAGTGCCAATGTGCAGCCTACACATTGTATTTAGTAAGTGTATGCTGGGGATTTTTCCTGAGACAGTGTCTTGCTCTGTCGCCCAGGCTAGAGTGCAGTGGTGTGATCATAGCTCACTGCAGCCTCAAACTCCTGGGCTCAAGCCATCCTCCTGCCTCAGGCTCCCAAGTAGTTAGGACTCTGGTATTTGCCACCATGCCCAGCTAATTTTTAAATTTTTTGTGGAGGCAGGGTCTTGGTATGTTGCCCAGACTGGTCTTGAACACCTGGCCTCAAGTGACCGTCCTGTTTCAACCTCCCAAAGAGCAGCCCATATTGGGGAAATTTACTGCATATTTCTACACCTGGTTAGGTTTGGCTTATGCTAATATTGAAAAATGTCACAAAAGATTAAAGAGACATAATGACTTAGTGCAATAAAGAACTCCTGATTGATCTTGGTTGCAAAAAAATTAAGATATATAAGACATTTTGGGGAGGATTGGGGAACTGGAACATGGTTTGCCTATTAGATGACATGAGGGAATTCATTAATATTCTTAGGTGTGACAATGCTACTGTAATGAGGATTATTTTTTCCAAGAGGCATGCTGAAGTACTTGTGGGCCGAGTGCCACAACATCTGCAACTTACTTTTAGGTGGTTTAGCAACACAATTTACACATGTCCACAAATGTCAACAATAACAAGTCTGTGGGCGGGGAGGGGTATCTTTTATGCTCCCTGTCACAACCTGAAGGAGACCAAACTCAAAGAAGGTTGGCCAGGATGGAAAAAGAGAAGACTATCATGGTAACTTGTAAGGTGGATAACATAGGTGTAGACTATTAGAAAGTAATGGCAAACTGTATGTTAAGGCCTTTGAAGAGTAGGATTCTTAGTGATTTTTCCGGCTTTCTTGCAATTTTCTGTTCTTTCCAACAGTTTCTAACCTGAGCATATATAATTTTGAGAATCAGGTCTACAGCCATACCACCCTGAACATGCCAGATCTCGTCTGCTCTCGGAAGCTAAGCAGGGTTAGGCCTGGTTAGTACTTGGATGGGAGAATCAGAAAAAAAGGAAGAAAGACTCCAACATCAAACACCTGCAGGCCTGGAGAGCTGGCTGGTTGGGGGCCACTCGGGTAGAGCTAAGAGGACCTTTCTCTTGGGGGACCTAGCCCCTCTCGGGTGACTCCCTACCTCTCACTGCCATCTCTGCTGTCCTTCCCAGGTATGGTGCCGGCCGCTGAGGGATCTCTGGGCTGCCCATCTTTCCCGGCTGGTGATTCCTGAAAACAAAGGTGAGCATTGGGTTTGGACAGGTGGTCCACTCCAGGGCAGATCTGTCTTCCTAGCATTCCTGCCCACAAGTGGCTTTGGAGTGCAAGGTCCTACGGAACAATCTGAGAGGAGAACAAGTTAATGGTGAATGCAGTTAATTACAGGAGGCACAAGCCCTCTTGAGACTAGCATCTGCCTTTAGAGAGAGTGAAAGGTGCCACTATTTGTAACATTTTTCAGCTGACAACCTAGATGAAGCCACCTCCACCTCCTCAAAGAAAAAACTGCCACCACAGCCAGCCTACCAGAGCCCGGCCAGGCCTGGGCTAAGGGCTCTGTACACAGCCCCTCATGTGGCCTCTTCAATGAGCTACCACCACTGTCCCCACTCCACATGAGGAAACCAAGGATAGAAGTCAAGGATTCTGCCTAAGCCCACACAGCTGGTAAATGGTAGAACCTGAATTTGAGCCCAGGGCTGTTACCTCCAATGCCTGTACCCTTAAGCACTGGGCACTGCAGTCAGGTACAAAACTCTGCTGACTTAAAGGAAGTCTTTAGGGCTGTAGTGCTCAACCTGGTACAGTCCCCAGAGGTCCAGCTGCCTAGGCACGTGAGTGTCAGTCCCCCCTCTCCTCCTCCAGCAGACTTGCTTCCTCCCGGGTCTCTGGGCCCACCCTATTCAGTGATAACCAAGGCCATGACAGAGAACTGGGGTGGCACAAATACATGGAACATCACTGTGGAGAGTGGCTCAAGGAGAAGAAAAGTCAACCCTGGACACAGCTGTTGGCAGAGGGAGACAGCGTGGAAAGCCTTTCTCCCGGGGGATGGACTCCACCAGGTGGAGGCCAAGCTGGATGATGCCAGAGGCACAGGTCAGCAGAGGGGACAGCTGAGGTAGGGACATCAGCTTGGCTCCCAAGGACAGGGTCAAATCCCACTGAAGCGAGAATTCCTCAATGTTCCATGACTTGCTAACGCCTTAGGTGGGGCTTGCCCTGTGTGACATATACAATTTCGTAGGGACCCCACTCTTAAGGGGGAGCCCTGCCCTTGAGGTTGATGACTGGGGAGTTCTCAGTCCTCATGGACCCTCCCACAAGGACCTTGTCCCACTTGGCGCGTGTAGGGAAGAGCTATTTGTGAAGCTTTTGAACTTGCTCATGTTTTACTGAAGCAAAACTTGGAAAGCTGATTACTCAACAGAACTGCAGTCCCTCGACCACCAGGAGCTGGGACGGCAACATAAGGGGGGTGATGGTCCCAGGTAATTCTCTACTCCCTTGAGAGGGAGGTATGCACAAACCCGCAGGGCTACCTGGGAAGCAGTTAATGTAGGGGTGACACAGCATGCTGGGGAGGAGGAGGGGACAAGGTCTGAAAGGCTGTGAGCCTCTGGGCGAGGGACGGAAGATGGAGCTCTACGCTAGAAGATGGGACAGAAAGACTCCCACAGAGAGCAACTGGCTCCGTGGCCAGGGTCCATGCCATGCTGCTCCTACAGATTTCTACAAGGCCCATATGGCCGGGCTCTGAGGAGTGCCACATGTACTGAAGCAGGAGCAAACGGGCAGACCTCCACCTGGAAGCAGACCTCCACCTGGAAGCAGACCGCCACCTGGAAGCAGACCGCCACCTGGAAGCCCATCCTCTCCCACAGAGCCAACCTGGCTCCCAGCAAGCCTGCAGGGGGGAGGGTCAGCCAAACAGAAGCAGGTGGGAGGGAAGCAGCCTCAGAAGAGCAGGGCCCAGCTCCTGCAGGGCCAGGCCACATGCAGGCCGCCCGAGGTTACTTACTCCTCGAGGGGGAGCCAGCTCCTCGCTGCTCTGGCCAGAGGAGTACAGATTGACATATTCACCCTCACCAGCTTCCTCACTGGCGTTTTCACTCTGAGGGAGATAGGATGAGAGGAAAGACACATGGGCCAGGCCCTCTAGCCAGCAGGGCTGGCCCTGACCAGGACACTCTTGATAAGAAAGAAAAGAAGGTGACAGCCTATACTCTGGTCTCCACAGTGTCACAGAACAAAGCTGCTTTTGCCACCTCTTGCCTCTATGTTAGAGAGGACCCAAGTTTCCTGCTTGATCTTCTCCAAAGGTGTCGAGGGCCATTCAAACTGTCCTGAAAAGACAACCCCACGGAAGAGGGGACTGCAGGGGTCCCCAGTATGGTGGGAAATGGCTGTGGAGGGAAAGCAGCAGCACATCACGGCAGCTCAGCACGCCAGGGAGTGGTCACCCCGCCTGCATGTCCTCTGCGCCACCCACTTGTCCACTCCAAACTGCAAGGCAGCACTGCCCTGGCTTCGAGTGAAGCCACGAGCAATTTAACAGGACGGGACACCAGGCCCCCTATCCTCAGCACTATGTGCAACTGCATGAACAGGCAACTGCCTTGGATCGCTGCCACTCCCACACCCCCAAAAGGAGTTTGTACCTTTCTCTAAAAACAACCAAACTAAAAGCTGGTAGTATTTTCTATCTTATGCTTCTAACTTCTTGTCTCTAAACGGTCACTAGTCTATTTGTGGAAAACCAGATTCCTAGTCTGATGAAACTTTGTAGAAAGGGTTCAATTTTCTGTTCTAGAAATGGATGGGCTACACATTGCACCTTGTGACCTACCAGGTGGCCACAGCTACCAGTCTGGCCATGCCGCTCAGGGCGAATGCCCGAGATGCCCCCGACTGCCAGTGAGGGGCAGACGTGTCTGGCGGGAACAGTGACAGCGCTTTCTGAAACCGTGCGGACCCACGTGCAGGTGCGCGTGTTGAGTTCTCACCGAGTCAGTGAAAGAGGTTTCGGAAGGAAGGCAGACAGTATTCCCATGAAAGCTGCTCTCCTGGGAAGATGAGAGAGGCCCGTCCACGGTGCTGGGCGGCAGACTGGCTACAGCTGGCACCGCTAAGTCAGAGCTCTGAGACTGGTGGACAGGTGGGAAATGTGGAGAGGAAGAGGAGGTAGGCGGGAGGAAAGGTTGAACGGAAGCTTGGTGGTGAGGCACGAAATCCTGGGAGTAGGACCTAAACACAGATTTGTACTACAGAATCAAAGTGGAAAACAAACACAAAAACGAGAATACAGGAAGAAGAAAACAGACAAAAGAAAAAGTGATTAGATTAACCGTAGCTGAGCACTGATAGGTTGTTCACAGTAACTCTAATAAGGACCACCAATCATGCCACCAAAATACCCTGGTCCTCTGGCCATGAGGTCCCCCCACACCCAACACATCCTCCCTGGAGAAGGGTCTTGAAACCGGAGACTTGTGTACACAACAGCACGTGGAAAACAGCCCCCTGAGGCCCCCGAGGGAGAGCCAACCCCATACACTCACGCACAGTGACCACACGCTCTACTGTGACAGAAACATCACCTACACAACCCAACCCACTGCCTCTTGTCCTTTAATGGTCCTTATAGTTAAATTCAACGTCGTTGTATTTACTAACTTTCAATCTTTTGGGTGAGTCTTTTAGGTTTTATCCCTTAAAAGTCAAACACTGCAACTTTTCAAATATTGTAATTTACCTTTTAAATATTGTAATTCACCTCAAATCCTTTTAGAAGGGAAGGGCATAAGACTTAAGAATGGCTGGAAAAAATGTGGTATCAAAATGCTAAACATTTCTGAGTTCAATTCCCTTCCCACTCAATCTTTTCTCTTTCTTTCTTAGAAGTGGAAGCAAATACCCAGAGCTTCTCAGATCTGATAAGCAGCCTGGAGCAGGCTCCACTGCTGGAAGAGAGACAGAGGAGCTCTCAGACCACTGGTCCATCAGTGGCCCCCATGCTGAGAACCTGGCGATGTCATCATGCCCTGCAAAGGCCTGCTACCATGCTGATACCGCCACGGGGGGGGGGGGGGGCTGCGAGGCCATCCAGGGGGAAGCACAGCCCAAGTCCCAAGCCCTTGCCAGGTTCACCTGCCTACCATAGGTGCCAGGACTCAACAAGTCAAACCTGACACAAAGGTGCACATCCCTCATACAAATGTTCTATGCATTTGCTGTGGAACAGGATTTTCAGAACCCATGGAAACAAGGAAAAGGAGGAAGGAAAAATGAAGCTTTAAACTTACAGTGCGTCAAAGCCACTCACAGTGACCCAAGTTTTGCAAAGCTCCCCTTCAACCTGGACAAACAACTCCTGCGACTCAAGGGACAAGGCAGTCCCTATATCCGTCCACTGTGCAGACAGCCCCTGCCTCTTCCGGGGGCACTCATCAGAGTTTAAAGCTCTTCCTCCCTCTTTAGTGAGGCCAAGGCTCTCTTGCTCCTGTGAGCTCTAGTGGCTGCTGGTTTATGGCAGACTCATGATACCTGCCCTTGGCACTATTTATTAAGCCTTTTATTTCCCCCTCTAACTTACAAACTCAGGGCCAACTGATGACCATGGTCAAATGAATCAGTGGAAGTGCCATACATGTGACCAAATAACACTGAACACCCAGATGCCTGCTACAAGTGAAGTTCTGTTCACATTCTTCTTTCTGGAGAAGCTGGAGGTAGGGGACACATGCCCCGGTCCAGCAACTCCAGGCTTGCGGCTCTTACCCGCAGCCCTCACATGGTCACTTCCGCCTCTCCCAGCAGTTACCAGAGACAGTGCTGCGGGCCTGGGCACTCACTCTGGGCCTTCATGGGCATGGCAGTGGGGCGAGGGGCTTGGCTGTCTGTGTCCTCTGTCTCTGGAGGATGCTCACCCTGTAGTGAGGCTCTCATGGCTGCGGGGCCCAGAGAGAAGACGGTGAGTGGGATGCACTGGCTGAGGGGAGGGACGGCATGGTGCTGGAGCTCGGGGTGTGCTTTCAGAGAAGCCCCAAGTGACTCTGTTCCGGGCAGTGACTTCAGTTTCCTGCAGTTCCCAGATTTTCAGATCCTTGTTCCCAATGCCCAGGTGCTGCCACGAGATTTGCTAACAGATACCTCTTGCCTTGCCCCAAACCCACCTACTTGTTGGCACCTAGTTTAAGATTCTTGTTAAGTGCTCTTTCTGAAGCCCTGACACTGTCATCGTGGATGCCCCCATGTAAACTCCCTCAGCACTTAAGCATGCCCTGCAACAGCTGAGCACCTGATTTACATGTGCATAGATGGCTTTCACGTAATCACAACAAAACATATCAAGTCTAAGTAGTATCTTCCTAGCTGATCACAGGGTACATATAGCAGGTTTAGTTAGAGGTTTTGCTCTCAGCCTGCCCTCTAAAACACCACTCTAGAAACTATTTTAAGTAACAGAGCTGAGGCATTTAATAGGGACCCAAAACTATTTGCTGATTCTATTATTAATCAAAGTGCCTGGAATACTTCCTAACTCACAGCAGCAACTCAGTTTTGAACATGGAAGAGTGAGAGATAAGCTTCACTTGTCGCATGGGTTCAGATTCAGGTCCACAGACTGAGGAAGCAAGCTTAGGGATGCTACCATGGGTGTGGACTGCCAAGAAGAGGGGTAGTCACCAAGGAGAAAGGAAGGAGTCCGCATAGCTTGGACAAAGGGCCTGCCCACCCCGCCTTCCCTCCCCCTGCAGCTCTGAGACAGAGCTCTGGTATGCAAGCTATGCAGTCATGCTGGGATAAGAGCCAAGCTTGAGAAGTACCCTGAGGGGTGGGAGGATGCATGGGGAGGCTTTCTGATCACCACAAACCCTGGGGGCTCTGCAGATGCCGGCAGCTGCATCAGGACTCTGATCATACCATTTTCAACAAGCCCAGGTCTCCACTTACTCCCCAGAGCAGTACTTCCAGCCCTTTGAGATCACACTATCCACAGGGGCAGGCAGAAAGGCGGGGCTGGCCTCACCACAGCCTGGAGTTTATTTTAGGATCTAGCTGGTGCCTGGCTTTGCTCCTGAAGAGCTGCTGCTCTCTGTGCAGTGGGAATTTTTATTTATAGCCAGACTTAGACTGTTTGGGTTGAGGATTTTAGATCATGGGGGCTGCCTATTTGAGACCTGCAAACTTCTGCAGAAGACCTCAGGGTGTCAGTGTAAATGCGCAGGTAGGAGAGGAGCTGCCTGGCCCTGCCCTCCATCCAGTCCTGGTCCCATAATCAGTCAAAGTGCCAGTGGGGACTGCTACAGACAGATGAGGAGAACTACTCACAACTACTTGTACTGAATGCTTCCTTTCTGCTGTACAGATGAGGTGCTAAGAGTTTTGCAGGGATCATCTCATTTAATCTACACAAAGTACTGTCATGACTCTTACTATAATGATGGAGAAACTGAGCTGGGAGGGTAGACCATGAACCTAGTAACACGCAGTTAGTGGGGATGGCCTGTGCCACACTCAGTTCGTGTTTTCTGAAACGCTAAGGAGTATTCTGGGCACATGGCAGGCCCTAACCACACCACCCACGGCTCTGCATGATGCAGTCTCGCTAACTGCATGCAGAGATCTCCTTCGCGGAGTGCCCTGGGATGCAGAGAGCAGTGCACTGGCCAGAGCGTTCCAGGACGGGCAGGGAAAGATAGAATCTGCAACTGGGTTTCTGAAAACGTACACCTGAAAGAACCACTGAGTCTTCAGAGTCTAAAAGACGATGGAGGCTGATGACTTTATAGCTTAGATTGTGGCCAACTCGTTAAAACGCAAAGCTACCTGCAGCTGGTGAGGCACAGTGACACTGTCTCTCCATTATAGTTCTGGCAAGAAAAATGACTTGGGGACGGGCCCTGCGTTGCCTTGGCAAGAAGGCAGAAAAGTAGATCTTTAAATGAAAAATTCTGAGTCCATGGACGGCGGTTCTGCACACCAGTAGCTGAGCTGGAGCCACAGATCTAGGGACCCTGACCCGAATGGCTGCTCCATAGTGATGTGAGCTCCAAGCCTTGGAGACCTGTCACCTCTACCAATTACGGGAAATGCGATCATGTAAACGAATGGACTCACTGTCACGGTGAAGTGCTTGGGAAGAAGAGAAGTTGCCAGAGACTGGTCATCACTACATAATCTTGGTTCAAGCAAGGCTTATGACTTCAGTGTTTCTGGACACTGCTTAGCAAAATAGATTATTACACAGCTGGTTTTCAGGCTTAAATTTTTATCCCTCATTTGTGACAAAACACACTCAAGGGAAGCTGCTTTTCCAGTGTGGCAGAGGATCCCTAGGAGCTGCAGCTCAGCACTGGCGCTGGGCTCCGAGCACACTTCCTTCCACCAGGGACTGCAAGCGTCGCAATGTGGAACCTAATTCATTGATTCTGGGAGGAAGTCAGGCTTTGGCCACCACACAACACCCTACATGATTGCCTGGCGAGAAGCTCATCTGATTTGGTTCTTACAGAGACAGGATACGATCACTCCTAGGACACCAGAAAAGGTCCCTTGCTACTCCATTTGGCCAACCGGAGGGAAGACTTCTGGCTTTGTCTTCTTTCTCCTTACTGGTCCCAATTAACTACTGGTCTATGAATGCCACCATTTGGGCGAGTCTACCTTAGGCCCACAGGCTACTCCCTTCTTTGATGCACTTGCGTTAACTTACAACAATAATTACATTTTACATAATGTTAAAAGATGAGGTTCCACAGCCAAACAGTAGATTCTGAGGCCAATGCCACAAGCACCTGAACTTGAGATCTGTCATGGGCTGTTCTTTGTTCCTGGTAAGAAGGCACTTTTGTAGGTCACACTGTGTGAATGAGATAGCATCAGTCTCTTCAAAGAGAGGCACCATTAGCATCATGTCAGCTCCAAAAAATATCCTCTCCCTTCTGAATAAACTTCCTAGTGGAGTTTATTTTTAAAAACCACTTGAAAATTCTAAGAACAAAGAATGTAAAAAAACCAAATATTCTGCTGGGGGGAATTTTAGGTAGTAAGATGGGCGAGTAAAAAAATTATATTAAGTTCCTTCTCCTGTGACATATTTTTGCAGCCCGAATCATAAGCTCTTCCTTAAAAACACTATAGGCTGGGTGCGGTGGCTCACGCCTGTAATCCTAGCACTCTGGGAGGCCGAGGCGGGTGGATTGCTCGAGGTCAGGAGTTTGAAACCAGCTTGAGCAAGAGTGAGACCCCGTCTCTACTA